AAGAAAGAAAGAAAGAAAGAAAGAAAGAAAGAAAGAAAGAAAGAGAAAGAAAGACAATTTTTATCCAAACGCATCCATTTCCTCAGGATCTTCCTCTACATTTCTGTCAGTTTCTTAAGGAATTAACAGAGAGTGGAGTCAGTCATAGATGTCCAGTTTAACAAGGACGGTCTGAAAACAATGATTTACCTAGAAAGCGTGGCTAGAGGTAGGATTTTGAGCGTGTCTCATCTGAGGGTGAAGACGGCTGCATGCTCAGTGGCTTTGGTGGTAGGAGTCACGCCTCAGCGGCTTTCCTTTACTGTACTGAGACGGACCTGAGCGCTGCTCTGAACTCACCCAGGAATTTGTTGATACAAAACATTCGGGGAGAAGGAAAGACTGAGAAAACTTGAAAGCCTCAGATTCCACTTAGGGAAGAAATTGCTGCACTCCAATCAAAAAAAAAAAAAAAAATTAATGAGAAAGCAGCTCACCTCATTTGATTTAGCCAAAGTAGAATAGAGAGGAAGGTTTATTTTTAACATTTAAAAAGCACCCCTGTAACAACATCCGTCACTCACAGTGTTTTGTTATTTTTAAAGGCTCCTGTTAAGTTCCTCTCATCAGTTCTTGGTAAAAATAACCTTCAGTTTTCTGGAATGAATATAAAGCTGACCATCTCCACGTGCAGCCTCACACTGATGAACCTAGACGACCAGCAGGTAAGACGGGGAATGCACTTTGTGGCTTACCGTAGTTCGATTATTCTGGAAGTCTGAGGGTAACGATAAGAGTAAAGTGTCCGACAGAGAGAGCATGCTCACAGCCCAAGTGGAAAAACGAAACACTTTGCATAAATTTAGGGATAAATCCTGGGCTGACCATATTGGAAATCATTTTCCAATAATTAGAATAATAACATTAGTAAATTATCACTGGCCTTAACTGCTCACATGCTTGCTGCTCCCTGAATGGCTTTGTATGAAAAATAAAGGTCTAAGAACATAGTAAACAGCACTTGCTAGCTAATACCCTTGATTTGGTCATTGGTAAGTCTCCGCCAGCTCGGCCCAGAGGAAAAGCAGCTCCATCACCATAACTCAGGCTATTCGGCCAGGTTGCAGGTGAGGGACAGAGGGAGAAGGTGACATCAGTTCAAGCTAACTAAAATCTAAGTAGAAGACACTTTTCTCCAACTTGTGTGGTTGAAAAGCATTCTCCACTAGTACACACAATTCTTTTCTTTCTTGTTATTCTACCATACACCTGAGTTTTTACTGTGTACCTCATTTCTCATAGAACAGCTATTATGGTTTGTATCTGGTTGTCCCCCCAAAGACACATGTGGTCATGGCTGGTGAGGGGGACTTTTTGAAAGCAGCTGAATCTAGAATTTGTGATTGGTTCATGCTCTAGTGCTGGGATTGGGGATGTGAATGCTACATCTGCCATAAGGCAGGTAACCTACATACGGTATCAGGGAGGAAAAGAGGCTCCCCCCATTTTCCTTTTGTTGCTTTGGCTGTCTTACACCACTGTGAACTGGTGCCCCTCTGCCATGCCACCCTGCCTTGGAGCCAGCTGATTGTGGACTGAAACCTCTACAAACTGAACTAAATCAACCTTTTCTCCCTTAATTCGGGACATTGGATATTTTGTCTCAGCAACAAGAGAAAAGAGAAAAGTGACTAAGACAGAATTTGGTGCCAGGAGTGGGGCTGTTGCTCTAACTATCCCTGAATGTGTGGTTCAAGAGCCTTTGGAAATATTTCGTGGGAAGAGACTGGAAAGGTTAGGAAATGCTGGACAAAAAAATAGAGGTGAAATGACTTAGGCTGTTCTGTATGGGACGTTCTGGTCAGAGCTCAGAAAACCAGAAAACCGATGAAAACCCCATCAGTTAAACCAGGCTTGGGAGGTTTTTGCTAGGAAGAAGGACTGCATGGGATTCTGGACTCCAGATGATGTGTTATGGGTTGGCAAGAAATTTGTCTGCAATTCGCTCATGTCCAGAGACTTTGCCTGAGACTGAGATTAAGGGTGCCATACTAATTAATCTTGTAGAAGAAATTTCAATGCAGTCAAATGTTGACATGGTAGCGTGCCTACTGTTGGAGACTTTTAGCCAGATCTATGTTGAGAATCAAGAGAGCCCAGCAAAGTGATTTAGAATGTTGTGAGTTGGGCCAAAAGGTGAGCTCCAGTAAAGCTATGCACTGCAAATACAGAACAGAGGATACTCCTTTGCTGAGAAGAAACAAGAGGGTAGAAAAGATGGCCAGAGAGGATCACAAAAAGCAACAGGACTGCATGCTCTGCAGCCTCAAAGCTGCAAAAGTGAAAGACTTCACTTTGAAAAGAAAGCCATAGAGCACCATGTTCCTGACTGGCAGAAGCCTGGAAAATTGATTCCTCAGAATTGGATTCAGAGTGGTTAGCAATCTAGGCACTCCACCCCTACAACCAAGAGAGGAGGAAGGCGGGCTACTGCCCAGGCTAGCAGCAGACCTTGGAGTCATCCATGCGGGGCTGGTTTTAGATGCATGCAAAATACAACAATTGTGGAGGTAAGAAGGCTGCCACCCAGATTTAAGAAAGCTGGTAGGCCAGGCAGTGTGCCCTGACAGGGCAGTGTGTAAAGCTGGCAGGGTGAAGCCGAAGGTGCAGAGGAGACCCCAGAAGCCTGGAAAATTCAGGCACATGGATTGTCTGAAGACACCTGCAAGGAGGGAGCAAAATGATCCCAAGAGAGAAGCCATGGGAGCTACAACTGTAAGCCCTCGGGATCTCGCGTCTTGCCACAGATGACTGCCTCAGATGACTCACGTGGGATGATAGCACTTAATGTTCACTCTGCTGGCTTTTGGACCTGCTTTGGTCCCATTCCTTTATATCTCTGTTTGTAAATTTAAAAATGGAAATGTTTATCTTGTGCCACTGAATGTTGGAAGTGTTTAACTTTATTTTCAAATAACTTTGTATTTCAGCTAAGTGTTTGCCTTGCATTTTGGAAGAGACTTGGGACTTGGACCTTTCAGCAATACTGAAACTGTTAGGGCATCAGAGAGACAAACAATGCCTTTTACATAAAGGGATGTGCATGAGTCTTCGGGGGGCCAGGGGTAGAATGTTAGGATTTGTATCTGGATGTCCCCCTAAAGCCTCATGTGGTAATGGGGGGCTTTTTGGAGGTGGCTGAATTTCAAGTTTGTAATTTGTTCATTGTCTTATACTGGGATTGGTGGTGTGAACGCTCCCCCCGCCCTAGGTGGACAGCCTGCAGAGAGTACAAGGGAGGGAAAGAGGCTTCTCCTCCCCACTGGCTCTTGTTGCTGTTGATGTCTTCTGCAGCCATGAATGGTTGCCCCTCGGCCATGCCACCCTGCCTTGGAGCCAGCTGATTATAGACTGAAACCTCCACACGCTTTGAGCTAAAACAACCTTTTCCCCCTTAATTTGGGCAATTGGGTTTTTTTTTTTTTTTCCTTTTTTCCAGAACCGGGGATTGAACTCAGGCCCTTGTGCTTGCCAGGGAACCACTTATTCCACTGAGCCACCTTCCCAGCCCAACATTGGGTGTTTTTTCTCAGCAACAAGAGAAAAGTCACTAAGACAACAGCCTTGCTAAAGCAAATGTAAAATACATACAAGTGGTGATCCAAACATACAAAGGATATTTAAATTTAAAAGACTTACAGTAAAACACACATGCAGCTTCTCAATATTGGGGATCTGCAATCAATATTGGGGATGATGGCACTGATCTCTGATGATTCATGTCTCATAATGAAAGAAAACTCATGACACGAGGAGAGAGCTGATGGCCACTGTTTATTAAAGGAGCACACTGTGAGGAAAATGCAACAGGAACAGAGGCGTTCTGTACTGAACGAGAACAAAAGGCATTCCATAGAAAGGAGTTCAAAAGATAATTCAAGGAGAGTACATGTTTCACTTGAGCTGATAGAATGGGGACAGCCGAGCTAATAAGCTAGAATTGCTAGGCTTGGGAACAGCACAGAAAATCTGCTTCCACCTGAGTGACAAGGCTATGGCCTCCCTCCGAGCCATACGACACTGTCTGCGGAGCTCTCAGCTGACCTGTGAGGATGGCCACGTCTACAGCCTAGATTCCAAGGGCTTCCCATCTACATCTTCAGTGCCCACTCCCACAGCACGTTGCCAGTAGGACCCTTGGGGATACTCCCCTGCACTTCAAACACTTCTCCTATCACTCTGCCACTCTCTGCAGCAGTTCTGGAAGTCCTCTTTTGTGAGTGTCTTTATGGGCCATGATCACAAATCTGATGCATGCTGCTGCGAAGGACCAGCCACCAGAAAGGCCTTTAAAGACATGGCAGTGCGTCTTCATCCCCCTTGTGCGCCAGATCTGGCACTCTTGTTATCCCTGGATCTTCCCCAAAGTTAGAAGGATCAGGAAAGGGGAACATTTTGAATTGCTTTAGGACATCAAGGAAGCCATGACAATGTAACTAAAGACACTCTCAAAGAGAACTCCAGAGCTACTTCAGAAAGTAGCAAGAAAAATGGGATAAATGTGTTTTAAGTGAGGGGCAATATTTTGAGGGAAAGTATGCCAATTTGTCTTTTACTGTCATAAATTTTTTTAAACATTCACCATACTTTTAAAACACATTTTGTACAGGCCTCAGGCTAAACAAATAACTAAACTATGGCTCTTTTTTACTTACCTACAATTCTTAAACTACCTTCCTTCTATTGAGTTATTTATGTATGCTAAAGTCTGCTTTTTCTCTGTCTGCTATGTAGCAATTTGAGGTTGTGAATATATGTTTTATTTAATGGGCTGTTATGGGTGGTGACTCTCAGAAGGTCGAGTGTGCCCTGTAGTGCTACAACACCGAGGCGCGAGGCCACCGAGCAGGTAGAACGACAGCCTTGATTCTTACTAGCAGCTGCTGGGATGCTGTAACGCTTTGCTTTTCAGCCTCAGTGAGCTGAAAATCCCAGTCCCTAATCATGGGGTTTCTGAGAAGATGAATCTAACAGTAAATGTGTAATAGGGCTGTTTTTAATTTTATTTTTATTTTTTTTTAATGTTTGGTTTTTTAAAAAATTTTATTTATTTATTTATGTGTGTGTGTGTGGCCAGCTCAGCCCACCAGGGGGCGGGGCTGGCTGGCATGTGGTGCTGGGGGATTGAACCGCGGTCCCTGTGCTTTGCTAAGCTTGTTCTAAGTAGGTGCTTTAGACCATTGAGCCATCTCACCAGCCAATAGGGCTGCTTTGTGGATTAAGTGAGATCCTCGATATAAACCCATCAGCAGAGCACCAGCTCATGGTAGCTGTTATCGCGTGCTCAAACATTCTCCTTCTGAGGCTCTTATATATGCACCCAGTACTTCATGGGGAAAGTATAATCTGTGCAGTTCTTCTTTTTTATGTATTTGGTACAGGGTCTCACTATGCAGCTCAGGTGTGTAGTGAGCCTCCTGTCTTAGCCTCCCTAGCGCTGGAGTTACAGGCCTGCGCCACCACACCTGGTCTCAGTGCCAGCTCAGCATGTGGTACCAGGGATCAAACCCCAGTTCCTGTGCTTGCTTAGGCAGGCACTTAGTCTGCTGAGCTATCTTGCCAGCCCAATCTATGCAATTCTAAAAGTTTCAATAATATAGAAGTACAAGGTTTGAGGGCTGCTTTATTTTTCAAATTCAACGATAGAATTTATACTTATGCCACA